TATGTTTTCAAAACAGTTTCAAAAAAATTGTGAAAAAATTTGCAAATCTAAATTAGTTCTATAAATAGAAGATATTTTACATATATCATTAGAATTAAAATTGACGTACCAGAAATACCATTACAATTACAAAAGTGCCTAAGATGCAAGTTATTTGCAGTCCAGTAAACTTCGATTTTTGGTAAGGCCATAAACCAATCATCAACAAGAGAAATCGATTAAGTTTGTAGTGTCTATCCACGACATTGATCATGTTTCTGCTAGCAGTAAAATACGTTTGACAAAATTGAAGTGAACAAAACTGCGCTTATTCCTACCATTTATTTTATTGATTAAACATTTCTTGCCTTTTTTCTCTTTCAATACAAATTGTAATCTATAGTCTAAGTCAATTTTTAATGTCAATAATTGGCTGAATTTTTAGCAATAAAGATACTATAAAATGAGAGATACAATATCAACGTAATCAGGGAACTCTAGCAATTTAACACTTTCTTTAAAACGTCGTTGTCGTTTAAGCGATCGATTAAACGCCGGAGGAATTTAACAGATGTTCTTTTCCCGTAAAATAATATCCATGAGAGAAACTATAGGCGCTAAGCTAGGGCAAGCGCAGTCGCCGCTCTTTAGCAGTATGCATATTCTTGTGTTTTACTCTAAACCACTCTTTTGTAAGTTATACTTGGTCTTCTACGGTCTTGACGACAAACTTTAAAACATAGTAATTCAATTGTTTTCTGTATAGTAGTAACATACAGGATGTTCCGGTAAAGGAATAATACTTCAGTAATTTTAACTTTAAAAACAAATATCTCGCTAAAGAAGTATTATAAAAAAATTGTATAGGAACTTGAGAAGTTATTTTTACCTACTCTACATATCCACGAGAGATTGCCAATCTTTTTACCGGGATACCCTGTATTTAATTAGAAACGTGATTAATGTATTTTTTAAATGTGTTTGTGTTTTAAATGTTTTTTTTATATCTCCATGTCACTCTCCATAGAAAGAAAAATATCTTAAAATATGAAATAATTAAATAAGAATGTTATAATTTAAATATAATGAAATTGTATTTTTTATATTTCATTTCTTTCCCTTTATTTTAAAAGATCAATTACAATAAGTCATCTTGTATAAATTATTGTTCATGTTATATGAGACACTTTCTTGCTATTAATTATGTATACGAGATGCAAATAGAATATAACAAAAAAATTACGTCAATGTTTATAGGAAACAACAAGAAGGAAACTATATGGTATTTAAATATATTATATAAAATTAAAATATAGGGAAATTTGAAATTTTATAAAAATTTGAAGATACGTGTTGAGAGAGAAGATCAATATGGGATCACAGATTAATTAAGTTCATTATTCAATTAGCTGTATTAATATTACGATAACGAACGTTAATTACATTCGGAACAACATCACAAATAAAATATATTGTTTTGCAATGTGTCTTTGTATGCAAGGAGGATATTGCATCTATGTTTGAAGGATAATGAAGATAAATATTAACTAATTTTTCTTTGCAAGTAAAAACTTATAGATACTTCATGGCATAGTAGCATTCGACGTGTCATTTTTGTCTGTTCTCGAACTCTCGCTTTCCGTATTCTTGGTACCTTCAACGGATGACGGTTCAGGTACCTACGAGAGAAATTAAAACATTAGACAACGAAATAATAATTCGTTCATAAAATTATCATGTGCTTTTACCTGACGAGGTAGATTGGGTAGGGTGGATGGCAGCCTACGGTTGGGTAAAACATCTGGCATGGGCGGAGGAACTGGTGGTTCACCATAAGTCTCATGAAGCTCCTCTAATCTTATGCAAAGAGCGGTGCCGCGTTTGCTCGTAGCGTTCATTTTTTTCATGAGCCAATCGGCCTGTTCCTCCAAACGTTTTAATCGATCGGCTCGCGTCGCCAAAACTTCCTCAGGAGTTTGGCATTTAGTGGATTCGCTCTGCGAGCTTGTCGCGCTTTCCCGCAGCTCGTTTCTAGACGCCGATATAGACGAAGGTACGGGACTAACGTCGGCTGTAGGAAATTCTCGGACCGTATCTAAACTCGAAGAGGAATCTACGGAGATATTGTCGGAATCTGCAACGTTGTCTATTGGTTTGGAAGATCGTTGATCCTTGTCTTCTATCAGCTCCTCGTCTTGACTTGATGACACTGTCGTCGAAGAGGACCAAACGTTTGGCGAGGAGGTAATACAGTTATCCGTAAAACTTTCCGATTCTGTCGCGGCCGTGCCAAATACTGGAGCAAGAAAACGATTAGATGGACCCATGATCAAGGGATTGCTGAACTGCACATTTTTTGTAGATGCAGGAAGAGGTCCAATGGAAAAGACAGACATTGTGCTACTTGTGTTTGCAACAGTAACGATAGGTGTATAAGAAACGGACGATAATGGAATATTTTCGGAGTTTACTTTCTCACCGTTGTCGTCGTCCTGCCGCTTTGACAAGTTTTTGATCACGGTTGATTCAGGCAATTCGCCATTATCTACTACCGAAGATAGGTCAATACTCGTCGCTGTTCGTTTCAGTGTCTTCACAATGGGCGACATACACTCAGGTTCAATGGCCAGAGTGCAAGATTGCGGATTTTCGCAGAAATCCGTTCTAGAAGTAGTAGTTTGATCGGTTTCCGTATGGCCGCTGATTTCAGGGATAAGATTGTCACACGAATCTTTGAAGGGTGTCGTCATACTTTCTCGTGAGGCTGAAATATTCTGGTCTAATTCTCCATCGTCAATTTTTATAAGATTTTGTATAACGTTGGTGAGAGCTTGGTCCAAAGGATCTAAAATTTCTTGCGTACCTTCCATAATACCCTGTTCAAAATTACATGGATTAACTATCAATAAAATATGATAAATTCTACAATATGAGTTGATGCGCAATTTCACTTACATCAACTTCCGTCACGTTAATAAGTTCGGAATCAATATGTGCGATTTCTGCCTCGTCCAATTCCGCTTCCGTCTCCGGAGTTGGTGTGCGTTGTTCTAAAGTCGCCGAGGAACCAGTCTTCGACTCCGATAGCTCAGTATCTGTCGGTTGTTCGGATTCCGTGTCCGGTGTCGGCGCTCTAGGATTCTCCTGTATTAGTTCAAGCAACATTTTACTTTTAAGGAATAAAATTACCAAAATTTATATAAACAATTAGTAAAAACCTTTCGTGTCCGTCGGCGTGGACCATGTCTGATTCGTCCCTCAAGCGCTTCTTCTTCGTCACTATCGTCACCTCTCTCGTCACTGAAACCGCTTTCAGCGCTGCATAGAATAATTGAAATACGAGTCAGATAAAACAAGTTTTGGATAATAAATAATAAAACATAATTAGTTAAAATTTTTTCCAACTTTTCTATTATTGCTATAATGTAACAATAAAGGAAACACTAAGATCTTAGTTTCGACACAGTCTAGTTGTAATCTAAAAAAAAAGAAGAGATTTGGTACGCACAGTTCCATACGGAAGAGATTTAATTAAAGAAAAGTAATATTACTTTTATAAAATCTACTTCTGAAAAGAAATAAAACTTAAACTCGTTATTTAGAAATATCTCAATGCTATGTTAAAGCACACATATAGTGACAAATGTAATAAAATTGTGGTTAAAAAACCTATTAAAAGAATCGTGGGCAGCTAAAGCTTTCCGTGCAGCAAACTCGCGACGCAAGTTTCTCCACTCGCGTTCGGTGTTCGTGTTTTTTTGTCTAGCCGATTCCCATTTTTCTCTGCAGTATTCCAATTCCTGCTTCAACTCCTGTAACATTTTTCTCTTCTCTTGCAGCTCGTATCTTAATATCTCCTCATGTGTGTGCAACTGCTGATGCTGCACCTGCATCCGGTCGACGATAGTCCATGTTTTGGCCAACTCCACCGACACCATAGAGAGTCTCTTCTCCTAGATATTGAAAAAAATAACGGTAAATTTCTGTTGTACCATTCATATATAAAAGCTTAGAAGACCATTTACCTGTTCGCCCAATTTACTTTCCAAATGAGTGTTCAACTGTTTCATGCGATTCATCTCCTTCTCCAAATGCTTCTTTTCCAGAATTAATTCCTTCAAACGAATATAAGTCTTGCTAACGGATATTACCAATCTTGGGCCGGCCGGAGTGTCCACAGACTTGTAACAGCTGTTCGGATCCGAACAGGATGCGACGGAAACGGTCGGAGAAGTCACCGCGTGGCAACTAAGTAGTTCGAATAAAACGCGCCACACCTACAACATAATTTCACAATTACTTTAACGAAGTAACAACTTGCATTAAAATGAACATATGTACATCGAATAATGGTAAGCATCACTATTGTACTATAAATTAACATTCATAAATACATGAAAATTATATTAGGAATTAATATATTCTTTTTCGCGCGTGTTGACCTTCGGTAAATTATGAGCGATATCTTCTTCTTGGAGATCATCTTCCTTCCTGTCGACTTCGCCAACATTTTCTGCATTATTCTCTTCATTCGTGTGTTTCTGGGATGCTTTACCGCCCTCGACTTGCTCAATCAAATCCAAAAGAAGTTTAGGAAGAGCCGCTGCTTCGGTACTTTCTTCCCTCGCTATGTCACTTATAAGATCGTGATTTTCCTACAGCGTTAAAATCCAATGGATTATATCTTTTCATTTACATTCTCTTTTGCGAAATTTATTGTCGTTTTTCTATAAATATTAATCATTATCTTGTAAACCACAAATAACGAGCCAGCACCACGTATGTACCTGTAGCAACTGAGTCAACCGATCAAGATCCATGTCCGCAGAGGAAGCTCCGAGCAGCATCTGTGTGAATAATCCATTAATGAGAGATATCTGATTCTGTAGATCTCTGCAATCCGCCTTGGTTAATCCCAATTGCGACTCCAAGTTTGTTATTTCCGAGTCTTGAGTGTCGACCTGGCGTACGTAACATAACATAAGAATCTAAGTCAGTCAAAATGAAATCGAACGGTAACACCTCGGTACCTTGTCTTCAGCTTTTTTAAGCTCCTCTTCCAAGTTCTCCGATTTCTTTAGAGTGTATTCCAGTTTCTGTTTCACATCTATCAGCTCCTTGGTCGCGGAATCTTTCAAATCGGTCAAGATCCTCAGCCTCTCGTTGTAGAGGCTCCTCAGCGCGTTTATATTCTCCAACTGTCGGTCGCATTCGACTCCCACGTCATCTTGGATTTCCAGGAAACTCCTGTCGCCCAATCTGGCCAGTAGTTGAGCCAGATAATTCTTTAACTCATTAGTCTGACGTTCTCGTGCAGTGAGAGACACGCGTGCCTTGCTGGCCGCTTCCGCCAAACAGCGAATGCGTTGTCGATGACGGTCTGAATTGGTCTCCAGGTGGTAACGAAGGTCGTCCACCTTCTCAATTTGGTATCGCACGCCATTCCTTAACTCATCGGATACCTGAAACAAGTCTGCATCTACGTATTCATTTACGGATTTTAATCGCAAATAAAATGTACGAATAATACCTTTAGGGTGCGCGTCAATCGTTGCGCCTCTGCGCGTTTCATCGCTTTCTCGCTTTCATCCGCGTGCTTGTGTTTCTCTTGTTCTTTCATCCTAGCAAAGCCGTCATTCTCAAGATCGGAATCTTGCGGATTGCTATGAACGGAACGTAACTGAGCCAGCATGCTCGACGTTTCGGAATGAGCTTCCTTCTCAGCGTCCAATTCTCTTCTAAGTCTTTCCATCTCGGACGAGACCGCCGCGATAGCCCTGTGTCTAGCTTCTCTCTTGACGGTTAGTTCCTTTCTAAATTCGTCCATACTGGAAGCGGCACAATTTGGATTCGATGTATCTTCCGATAAGCCGATCAAATCTATAGCACATAAACGCCCGATTTTATTTTACGAGTTGAAACACGATTCAGTTATGTACAATGTGATTTTATTAGAATAATATAACGGAATGGTTGTAGACAACATAAAATATACCAATATCTTCTCCCGAAACAACATCATCTTCGTTCCTTCTTTCAGTCTTCATAGTCTCCTTCAGTCTTTGAATCTCCTGCGAAGCGTCTTCAAGAGCTTTAATCTGCTTTATCTTGTCATTGACTTCTTCGGACAATTGTGCCTGCAATTCTGATATCTTTTGGTTTTCCGCATTCTTGATCCGCTCAGTCTCGAGCAACGATTTTTGCAGCTTTTGTTCCAGCGTTGCAATTCTCGCATCGGCAGTGCCTTTTTCTGACTGAAAGTTATCGATCTCTTTCAGCAATCTTTCGACTTCTTTCTTAGCGCAATCCAAGTGTTTCGTCAGTTCGTCGTGATGTTGCTTGCGTTCGTACAAATTAGCTTCTACTGTTGCATATCGCGTTCTCAGTTCCTAAAAAAAAAGATCATGTTTATTACAGACAGTTTTAATGTAACGTTAGCGCTAAACTGAGCGAAGAGATGGATTGTGCAGATGATCGAGACTCTTGATTTCTTTGAGTTCTAGTATTAGAAATTTTAGAATATTACCGTACCTCATTATCTGTGCCTAATTTTTCCACCAAATTTCTCTGATCCGTCAGACTACGCAGCAGTCTTTCGTTCGCACTTTGAAATTCCAGTCGATCCGCTTTCAATCTCTCAACTTCCTCCGACAATTTAAACAATTCTTCGTTCGCTGGATTTCTCATCGGATCTTGTTCGTCGTCTCTCAATCTTGCGCGTTTTCTGAGCACTTTATCTAAATCTACATTCATGGAACATGAGTTCTCGTCTAATCTAGGAATATTCGTCTCGGAATCATCGGAATAAGTACTACAGCATATTTGAACATCCGTCTCCTTCCTGGTCGTGCCACAATCATCAGGTACTTCACTAATAGCGTCAATCACGACGTGACTCGTTTGTTCCGTCGATTCGCAACGCGATTCCGCCGATCTCGAACAGGAATCTCGTGTCTTGAAAGAATTCTCCGACGTTTCCGTTCTGGAGCGCAATTTGCTGTCCCCCTGCGAGCAAACTCGTTGTTCGCACTGTCCAGGAGAATACGTCGCCAGCAGTTTTTCTAATTTAACGACACGCTGCTCCAGTCTTCGCATCTCCTCCTTTTGAACGTCTTCAGCCTGCAGTCTTTTCCGAGAAACGTCCTCGCACCTTTCCGGATTCTCTGTCGTAATCTTCCGCTTCCGATCCTCTCTGTCCTTCGACAACTCCAAATATAACGATTCCATACGCGCTAGCGTTGCAGTATGCGCACTGGCTAATTGATGATTGGCCATGGCCAGCTGCGAGATGATTCGCGAAAGCTCGACGATTTCATTATTTTGTTGACACATTAGGGGATCGTGACTATCGGCAGACTGCCAACCTGTCATTTGCGTGGCGCACGTTAACTGCAATATAAATAAGTGGATTGCAATTTCGGATTCTTCGTTAAAAACTAGAGCGTACGTAAATCGTTAATTGTCCCGAAATGTCGTTTCTCTGCGAAACTCGACTGATATCAATTGAGATATCAGTCGAGTTTCGCAGAGAGGCGAAAGGTGACAATTTTCCAAATGTGTAACTGTGAAATTTAACATGCATCGCGCGATTTTAAACAAAGAAGATGACGGAGACCAAGGAATTTTCTCTTTTTTCTTTCTTTTCACGGGGATTTCTTTTTGCAAAATGCTGCAAATGTTAACACGCAAATAAAAAGCGTCTCGCGTAAGTTCACAGTTTACGGAAGAAAAGTTTTCACCGGCACCTTTCGCGAGACAACGGCCCGCCCACGACGATTCGCAATAGTACACTGGCACAAAACGCAACGTTCCCGCGAACCGACCGAGAATAAGCACGTGATCGCGACCGATGACTGTGAGGACGACTTTTCGTGACCGTGAGTCAGTGTGTTCTCCCGAAAGCGCGGATTGGAGAGAAGCCAGCTTGCCGCGGCTAACAGAGGAACCGGCTTCTGCGGGATAAAATCGCGTGATTTTTCTCCGGAAAATCGCAGGTGCAACTCAACGATGGCAATGCCCGAGTTTAATTTAGCCGCAATCGCACGTGTCCCGTACCAGCAGACAGTTCACACGACGACAGTCGAGATGAATACCAGTAGCATTATATATGTATCTCGACGTCGCTCGCGGAAACGTAACACTTGCCAGATTCGTCGCTTCTCATTGGAAATGACATTGAACTAAGAATTTAACATAGCAAAGGAAGGAAAAGAAACGAAGGTTGAACAACGATTTACCAGAGTCTCATGTTTAGCAGGTAGCATGCTCGACAGGCTGGGTGCCGTTGGCCTCTGATCCCAAAATTCACCAGTCTTCAAGGTCGCGTAGGAGCTCGGACCCTGTGCGCCAAATTAACAAGTAAATTAAAAACTTCTCCCTTTCCCTCTCTTCCCTTCTCCAAATGTATAAATTTAGTTAGCAACGTACTTGCGATTGTGGCTGATCCTCCCTCTTGTACGTACTCGTTCCGACATATGTTCTTTGTCTGCCGTCGTTCGAGGGGCAATCTCCCGGGTACAAAGGTACCTCTGCCCCACGTTCGCTCGCAGAGATCAAAGCCGGCGGACCACTACTGCTGCTGGATACTCCCATTATTTAAAGTTTTCACTTATAGCGCGACAAGTGTATCAATTTTTAGATTATTTCCCCTGTAAATAATTTTTAATGTCTGAGCGTAGTGTAATTTTGCTCATTTTGAGGTATAATGATGAAACAGATGATCTCTTCTTAATTTAAATAATATAATATAAGAACGGGTATAATCTTGTCTTCAAGTTTTGCGTTCTAAACGTATCACATAAAATAACTCTAAAATTGTTATTTAACACATCGAGATATTTTTAAACTTCCAAAATTGCACACTTATTAATTCGTAGATGTATAGCTGCCGAAGGAAAAAGTTTGGATTGTGTCAGCTTTTATTTTTAGAACCTAGTTCGATCTAGATTACGTCCCAACACTCTCTTTAAAGACTAAGGCCCGGTTGCACCAACGTCACGTAACTTTTAACTTTAGCTTAATTCACTCTTCGTCTCTTTCCGTTTCCCTTAGAAAGAGACAAAGGGTGAATTAAGCTAAGATTAAAGTTAAGCGACGTCGTTGCGACCAGGCCTAAATAGGGTAAAGACTAGATTAGTTGGATAAAAGTATAACAAACTATTTAATGCTTTTACAACGCGAAGGTAAGAAATAACTGATGGACACAAGTGATTCTAGCTCAACACGTCCATACGTATTGTCGAAAATGCGTAAATAAGATTTTAATATATTAAATAAAACAAGCTGGTTAGCGTCTAAGCGAAGATCCGGCGTTCCATTTTTAGGATGACAGCCGCACAAGCGAGAGCTTTCGGACACGGCGATTCAGAGTTGAAGCAAAAGTCGCTCACCGGTGGTCAATGGAAAATTCGTGAAATTCGCTTCGATTTCCCCAAGGGTCAACGACGACTCTGTCTGACTACTGTCGTCGCTGCTAGCGGGCACCGACTCGCAACTCTAAAAATACCATTTCGAAAGACCGCCTGCGCAAAGCCGACGATACGTCTTCGCATCGTATTCGTGCGCAGAAGCGTAGCTTCAGACTTCCGCGCGTATTTCACATCCTAGGAAGCCATCCATTAATCACGAGAAAACAAATCCAAGTCAGGGAAGATTTTCCGATGGATATTGCGTTGTTTCAATTTCACGTCTTTACGAGGGGTGATATTTTATGTAACAAAGAACTTCAAACTTTTATTCTGATAACATACGCAAATATGATAAAGGAATAATTTAAGGCTTAAAATGTTAGTGCTTGACGAACCGAATAAAAATATCTAATATTGACGTAAAGAAAAGAGTTAATTTTGTCATTTGGTCTCAGTAACAAAACGATGCGAAGGCAGTACTTCGTTGAATTACCACCGTTATAAGTTCTAGCTTGAGATACAGCACTCATTGTCAGTTAATAGAATAAACAACTATTTTAAGGTGCTTTCAAGCCTTCAGACAGATGCACTCGGGAAAACGTAAACGTCCTAACAATAGCCACGCACGTATTCTATATTTAGGTAGTTTTTCGAACTGTTCGTCATCGCTATCGCCGTTTCAAGACGAAAATCGACTCGTTCTTCCCTGTTTTTCATTTACAACATTATTTACTCAGCACAGTAATTAAAAGAGCTTAATCAAGTATATTTCTAATTTGATTTCGCCTTTCTCTATCACGTTTGCTTCATCTTTAACCTTTAGAGGGCCGGACTGGCCACTACAGTGGCCAGGAGCAAACTTGAAAACTTTTCGGAACATGTAGATTGCATATACGCATAACTTTTCTGTTTAAAAAATTACAAATTTCAATGGAAAAATTCCGGCCCCCTACAGGTTAAAGAGAATCGGAATACGGTTTACATCGAACTCTAGTTTCCAAAAATAACAGGTGACACAACCCCCGAACTTTTTCTTGTGATAGCTTTACATTTATATATTTAAGTATTGCATTTTAGCAATTGAAAATGTACGAAACATAAGCTCCGTTTGATGTCAACGTGTCGCGGAAATAATATGCTTGAAATTTTTATAGCAAAATACATGCCAGTCTTTTCTTATTTTTCAAGTAGGAGAACTTTCTTCGAGGTTCAGAAGTAAAAATCTGGAATAAATAACGAGTACAAAGCGGGGTGATTGGAGTGAGTAATGTGCAGGGGAGCGTGGCATTTTTATTTAAAACGATGAAGGTGAATGCGGAAATAAATGGCCTCGCCCGCGAATTGATCAACTGCGGGTAAGGTAATGCGCCATAACATCCGTCGGACTTTCGATAACGTCGTACCCGTAGATAAAGAGACGCCCTCCGCGCATTTCGCGTTGTTAAATTCCATCGAGAGGACTTCCGTCGAAAGATTTGGCATTTTATCGGTAAATTGCGGGCCTCGCCGCGAAGTTACCGAAGAGCGAAAGTGTATCTAGATAACGCGTCGCGGAGAGGCCGTTGAAAATGTCGGCCCGACATCTTCTCCCGCTCTTTCCGGCGCACATCTCGGGTTATTTCAACGGGAGACAAAACGTACGCGTGAGGATTTATCAGAGAATCCACGTGGCCTCGCACGCTTAATGACAAATCCCGGACGGCAGACGCGCGCGGTCTTTACTTCCGCGGGTAATTTCAGTCGCGACGGTCATTTCCGGCGACACGGAGTGCGCCTCCATGATTACATGGCGCGCGGTGCTTATATAGCGTTGCGTTACAGGTGTAATCCAAAGCGCTTTGTTGTGGCATACTTCTTATCCCCCTAATATCCCTGAAAGATTCATAATGTCTAGATACGCCGCGTTCGACCCGGCGCGGAATGACTTGGCTCCAAGGTGCGAGCGCGTATCACGGAGTACACGCTCGCTCCTCGACGTGGAGGAGCACGCGCGCGCGCGCGCGCGTTCCGGTGCCGCACTGCCGCGCCAGCCGTGTACCGATCGGCTCGACCTGACAAGGCCGTCGCCGTCGCCGTCGCGCGCGCGTCCGTCAGTCAGCGTTCGCGCACGAATGCGACGGCACGGTCGTCGGTCATCGTGGCGGGTTTTAACTCGGCGCCGCGCTCGGCACGGGTGCTCCAGCTCGGGAGAGCAGAGCTGACGTTTCTACGCGAAGCGGCAAGAGAAAGTGGTCCCGCTCTCTCCTCTCTCTCTTTCTCTCTCTTTCTCTCTCTTCCTCCCTCTCTCTCTCTTTCTTTTTTCTCGCACACTTTCTACCCTTCCCGCTCCTCTACTTTCCTCCCGCGTTTTACGCCAGTCCACCGCAGGCGTTCCGCCGGGCGTCCGCTGCACAACCGCTGGGGCTGTGACCTGCTTCCGCTCTGTCCTCGCAGCGGTCCGACTGACGGCGGACGTGCACCCGCAGGTGAGAGGCGCGGAGGTGCGGATTCCGCGTCGCGTCGCTCCCTCCGCCGCGGTGCGACGCGACGATTTTCGGCGGCCACGGCCATCGGCTGCGGCGCAACAGCCTCGGGAGGACGGACGGACGGGGTGTTTAACAGATCGGAATCTCCTTCCGGCGCGACGCGATCGCGTGCCCGAACCCGTCCGGATGGTCGTTTCCAGCCACACGGAGAGCGTTATACGCTCGGGATGACCCCGCAATTATCGTGTACCAATTACGGGCTCGCGACACGCGCGCGGAGGCCCGAGCGATCGCCCGATACGCGCCAGCCGATCGCGCGATATTGTTGAACAACAGGAAAGATCCGCGGTGGCCCATTCAGTTGTCAATCGGAAATTTCGTCGGTACACGGGCGCGCTATCTGATAAGGGCACGAGCGCGCCGAGGGACCACGTTCTCCAAATTTAATTCACCCACGCGAGCCCGGAGCACGTCGCGCGCCCCTTCCACGGCGCAAACGGAATATAACATCCCCCTCGAGATCGTTCACTCTCGCCTCGCGAAACCCCGTCCTGGAGGAACGTCCGAGGAGGAAGGCTGGCTCGCGGCGCAAAGTTCAAAGCGGCCGGGCGCGGGAGAGGGACGTCCGCAGGTGTATCCGCGAGTGTCAATTCCAGGCATTCCTGGGCACGCGGGGTGTTAAACGCGCGCGGATCGCCCGCGCCAGGAGGAATTTCTCCGTCCTCTTCATTACGGAAGGTCGCGAAGTCGATGCTCATCGACTAGCCGAGCGGCGAGCGGCGCGGCGCGGCGCGGCGCGGTGCGCCGCGACCTTGATCGCGCACATCGGCGGCTCGGTGCCACCGGTATAGAGGTACGCACGGCCTGCGCGTCGACGTCGATAATTCGCGCGCGGCGTACATTCTCTCCGCGTGTCCTCGTATTCGACGTTCCCGCGCCTCCCCGCCGCCGTCGCCGCCGCCGCCGCCGCCGCAGCGTTTTCTCTTGTCAGAGGCGCGGGCTCGAGATCCGATCGCGTGTATCTTGGAAACGGTCCTCTCTCTCTCTCTCTTTCCCTCGTCTACTGCGCCTCCGCCGTTGGTCCTCCGAGAGTCGGCTCGATATCTGATAAGACGCAATTGGTTTTGGAGAACGGGAATTGTGCTGACTGTAATCGCGCGCTACCGCGACGGACTTTTACACTTGCATAGATACCGTAATGACCCTTCGGCTCATGGCTGAAAGCGAGCCGTAAACGCTTAAGTCTGTCTAGTCGTAGACGCACGGCGAAGCAGAGAAAAAGAGACTTGGGTCGTGAAGTCGTATTGTATACGACTTCAGGCTTTCTCTGTCTTGTCTTAACGTCTACTGGGGACCTGAGCAGAACGGCTGTCTTGTACTCCTAAGACATAAGACAGTTATTGTGCGTTACCTCAAGACAAAGGCTTAAAATATAAAACATGGTAGAAAAATTGCATGACGACCAATGGCTGGTTAATTCTAATTAAAGAAATTCATTGCAAAAAATATTATCTCAGCCAGGGCTTGAACCTGGACCTCCCTACACTCTAGGCGGGCGTCTCACCAATTCGACCACTGAACAGTACTGCAAAATAAACGCGAAGATGTCATCAGTAGTACTGTTTATTGCGACTAATATTACCACATGCCTCAGCGGTCGAATTGGTGAGACGCCTAGAGTATAGGGAGGTCCAGGTTCAAACCCTGGCTGAGGTAATATTTTTCACAATGAATTTCTTTAATTAGAATTTGCCAGCCATTGGTCGTCGTGCAATTTCTCTACATCGTTTAATCAATTACTGGCGTTAAATAATTCTTTACGTTATAAAACCTTGTCTTAAGACAGCCTTAAGACAATGTTTTATGTTTTAAGCCTTTGTCTTGAGGTAATGCACAATAACTGTCTTATGTCTTAAGAGTACAAGACAGCCATTCTACTCAGGCCCTTCCTCGTAGTCGACTTTGGACTCTTGGCGCGACGTTTTGTCTCCAGAGACTTCGGTTCCCCGAATGTTCGAATCACTACTGCGATTATAGATAGTAAATTACGTTTTCGAAAATTCTCTTTATACATATAAGTTTCAATAATAGACAAATGTGAGACTCGTAATTGCCAATTGAAGACAATAATTGTTTTTACTTATTTCTTGGAACTAATTTGCAACAAGTTAAACACAGTGTAAAGAAACCAACTTTTCTCTTAATTTTAATGACTGTGTGCACTTCTTCAAAGTTTCGACCTAATTTTGTATTATCTAATTGTGCAAAATAACAAAAGTACGACGATAAATGAAATTTCCATTTCAAAGAACCGACAATATTGTCGAGCGTTTAGCATTGACTTTTTAAACGTCGAACAGTACACACGTTACTTCACAATCCTAAATAATTGTTTACACATTAAAGATCGATACGCGACCCAACGAATTGCCATCGATTCGTCAGGTTGAATGCTAGAGCGTCGTAAAGAACAATCTTTGCGCCTAATATCTAAATCCCAGTTCAGTTCGAAATGACCGCCCGCGAAACTTGTATGTTCGCGACATACGCCTCAAGTCGCTCTAAATTACGTAATTATATTGATTGATCTTTGCTTTCGCGATACGTACTATCGGTGGGCCGTGCCACGCCGTCGTATCTATCGCGATAGAGGCCGCATATCGATAATGTAGTTCATATGCATTTTCGGCCTTGCACATTTGGCATCTGAGCGTCGATCGAGTTTGCGCGTCCCCGTGGACCGATTCGGTCGCCGTTCCAGGAGATCTATTGTTCCGTCCAACAGCTCGAGGAACTTCGTACGAAGCTACTGTCAACGTGCGGTTGATAGTTCCATTTATTCTGTAATGCGCAAGGAGCAATTGCCTGGGAATCAACAGCCCGTATCTTCGCTAATTTTCCATCTTCGCCAAACACACTTTTTGTTACATTCATACGCAAATGGAATGCAATTATCCTAAGTGAGACGATTAAAATGCAAAACTCTCGACAAACTAATACTTTGATTGCTAAAGATCGCAGAGCCATCCGATTGTATGCTAATTGTATCATCCCAGGTAACATAAATGTTTAACAGGCATAGCGACGATGTCTGAAAATTTCTTTTTTTTTCGTACGTCCCTTTTTAAAGACTCATATTTGATATAAGAATATGAAAAACTTTGTTACATACGACTGTTGGTTATATTATCACAAATTTTATGTTAATATTTCTCGACGAGCTCATTACGTCAGCTGTAGGCTGCAGTAGATTACGCGCATTTAATATTCGTTATTTAATATTGCGCGCTAAAATCCGATTGTTTCTAATAAGGATCTAATTCGGGCCACATGTTCGTTCGTACAATCGCGACGAGTCATCGCGGTGACCTTCGGTTCAGTTGTGTACCTTTGATAATGCACTCAATGCACCATCTGTTCGAACACTTGAGAATAGCGGAACAATCATCTCTCATTACATCACATCCGTTGTTCGTTACTTCTATACACGGTCATTGCTCGAACGCTTTCGTGACGCTCGATCGGTTTATTGTGTCGGGTTATCGCTTTTTACGTCGTTCGGCATACTCGATCCTCGTGTTTTGCACTATTTGCCATTTTTTTTAATTCTACACCGTCGTTTTGCCCTTTTATCAGGCGTTTTGCGAAACGTAACCCCGCAAGAGCAAGCAACGATACGTTTATCTGTTTCACTTTTTTCGCAAAAGCAATTAAACAGATAATTACAAGGATCCAACAATTAAAAACGTAATACGCAGTATCTGAGTTCGATGTCGAGATACAATGCATAGAGCTTTCTACATTAGCGCTGAAATAAAGTTTATGATTTCGCCATAGACGGACGGAAAAACCGCCATACAAGAAAGGGCGCTCGTAAGAGAAATACCTGCCCTCTCCCGAAGGCGATACCTTTTTCACTCCTTTTGATATGAAATGCTCTCAAACTGTCGATTCAACTTACAATCAGATGCGCAAATCGTGATAATTACGAATGTTCAGAGCATTATTTACAACATATGTGCGTATTACACGATGCATTTTGATGTTCGCCATCACTCCTATCTTGAACGACGGAGTTACAAGTATATAAATACATATGTGTACGTTATAAATAAAAAACATGTTGTAATATTGGACAGCTAATACCATATTGGACAGCTAATAATACGTATACACCGACACAGGATTATTAGGTTTGATTCAAGTGCAGAATTTTCTCCGACATATCGAGAGGCTTGATGGAAATTATTGTCGAGAAGAGACGAGTCAAACGTCTTCAACATGTCCGATAATCTCCGACAGTTTCCTAATTAGTGCAACTTCCGCTAAGACAGTGTTTCTCGTAGGCGTTGCGAGCGTAGGTAGATGACTCCGAGGCGATGTAGAACGTGTTTCTCAACAGCTCCTCCATTTGCCCGAGGACAAGTTGCCTTTTAGAATAAATCGACAAATAGAAAGATCAATCTGGATGTTATGAACGCCAGAGCGTGACTTGTTTTCGAAGGCACCGCGTCGAAACTTTACGATTCGTCATTTCACGCTTATCCTCCAATAATAAATGGGAGCAAATCAATCCGCGCGTACAATTTCCATCGAAAATAGACGCTTGATCATTTTTTTTGCTTTTTCTACTTTAACCGAGGTTTACAACTATCAATAAAAGAGAAGATTTTGCCACGTTTTATGAACTTTTTCTATCGAATATGAATTATATAATGTACAAAGATATTAATGTGTATAAATATATTAAACATATATTTTATCTTCATACTTTTTTTAAACTTTTTGTTATTGTAATGAGCGATTAGAGGTCTTTTAAATAACAATTTCGCAATTTCGCAATTTTATCGTGTATTAAGAAATGACGCATTGTGCGACACAAAAAGTTATTTGTATTTAACTGGCACTTAGTCACCGATAGTCCAAGATCCTCAAGAAAGACAAGTCATCGGATGACATAATACAACAAATATGTCGTATAATGTGTGTCGAACGTCAGGTATGATACACCGCGCTTACTGTCGTCTGCCTCGAAGCAGAAACATCTCTCGAAGATGTCAGCGAGGGAGAATGAAATTCCTGGTTCAAGTGAGAACGTAAACTCTCGCTTATAAGGCGAGGTTGGAGTAGTCGGAAGCGTAGGATTCCACCGTTAGTTAGGACAAATATCCGAGATAAAAACAATTTGAATCACGGTGAATTCGGGCATATCTACGGTAGCAAATCGATATCTCGCCAATATTTAATGATCATCGATTCGATCGGCCGTTCTCTTGCACGCGCTCAATGGAAGGAATGTTGTGAATATTTACCTGACGTCATTTACTGAATCATTCGTACGGTGGACTTGGAATTCTTGTGCTTACGTAGTTACGCAATTACAGCTGGTAAGCCTCATGCCAATTTCACGTACCACGTTAAGAACAAACTATATAGTAACGAGATACACGAGAAAGTAAACGACATGACACGCGATAGTCGACATGTCGAGTATCCCGATTGATTGAAAGTTGAAACTGAACGAGATTCAGTATCTGGCAGGAATGCATTTAAGAAACTCGCGCGTACTTTAGATAATTTTTCATATTCAACTATATCAGCGATTTTAAATTAAAAAAAATTGTCTTATATTTATCCGCGAATGGTTTTGCTGAAACTTAAAATCAGTGGTTCTGTAATGCTCCAACATATGTGAGGCAATGTGGAATTTTTCCACACGTTGAGGAGCTAATAATGATAAAGTGAACGCAGTTCTCTTCTAGAATCAGTGCCGGCGTTTTAGTGTAAGAGTGATAAACTTTATCTCGGTACTTACTCGGTATCGATGGGATATCACGGTGAATAAAGCGTACCGGCAGCTTTTATCAATGTGTAAACCGACAGGGAATCGTCAGACATATGTTATCAACCGGATCTACCGCTCCTTTGAAATATAACCGGACGCTAATGAACTATTAATAAACTCGAAATGGTTTATGCATTCCGATAGATACATCCACTCTGACATTTTGATGGATAGCACTATACGCTCGATTGTGGCTTCCGTTCTCTCGTTGTCGCACTAGATTGCGATGCCGAAATTGAGAAATTATGCGAATATATTTTTCAGCGCTGTTAGTCGTGCAAAACGTTCAGTTGTCTCGGCTCTACGCGGCCGCTCGTGCCCGGTGAAATAAATTCGCGAACTGTGTTGAAGGTTCTCGTTTCGGTTTCGTGTGCATTAACAGACAGCCATAAATCTTGATTAACCGTGATAAGATTCATTCTCGCTGGAAATGTAGGACACATACAGATTGAATTATACGTTCATTAAAGGGGACAAGAGAGGGATGCTCTCAGCATATTTTATCAATTTATACTGTCGAACGCAGATGCAAACCGGCGAAAGAGAAATTAGTTTGCCTCCACGTGTGCGACGCGAGGAAAGAACTCGCGCGATCTATTATCCGTCGCTTCTGGCGCCAAGATCCAAAAGCTGCAGTGAGGGACCACCAGTTTTATTTATTAGTTTCTAACGGATTGCCGTATTATATTTGCACATATTATCTTTTCGTAGCAGAGGAAGATTGTTCAGTTCAGAGACGGTTTAGACTTTGTGAAAACAACCATGCCGATTACGTCGATAGCCACCGATTTATTATTTAACTCTTTTTTCTCGAGCTCTTTCACTTGGCTGGCGACTACGCGCGCACAAAGGATTCGTTTGGAAGCCCCTCGTGTTGCGGAATACGTGTAACGCTGGGCTGGAAAAGGCTTCGATGATGCATCGGTGCGTTCGTTCGTTCGTTCGTTCGTTCGATGTGCCCAACGGCAAGATCGAAGCTGGTGTACGAAGCCGTTATTAAGCTGTCTCGCATCGGCGGTAGTAACTTTTGCGTAGCTACCGTTTTGTCGCGAGCCGATGCATTACTTATGTACGATGTGCTTCGAATCTATTTCTGAGGCTGATTTTATCGAGCGGCTTTGACCCCCTTCGTGCTCGGCAATGTTATCGGCCGCTATAAAGTTATTAGACGTAAGGTCGTTAAACGCACAAAACCTTCCCGGTCGCTTCCGCAACTTGGCAACTTCGCGCGCCTTCACGTGCATCGTAACGCGAGTGTCACCGCCTCTAACGCAGGCACTTCTAAGACACGAGATAACACATTGGCACATTTGTCGGGGAATGTTTGCTATTTCAAATGGAAATTTTATACCGCAACGTCGTTGATAAAAGTACTAAATGAAGAAATAATTGGCCGAGGCCGTGCGCTTCCGTTAAAGAGATAAAGCTTAAGTCCGCGTCACTTCTAAATCTTGCTGTCTAAAGATACCTCGGGTATCGAATTGGGGCAGGCGATATAAGGCTACGGTATTCGCGAGCCCGTCGATTCCTGATCCCCGTTGGGATCCACGGGTGAGACGACGGGCATACCAGCGGTAAAAGCGAGCGTTCGAGTCCGGAGTATCGATTGATCGGTCAGCCGTGTGCGCGAGACTGTTTATAGTTAGATAAGAGGACTGACGTAGCCGGTATTACGTAAATAGTGAATTATCCCATAGAGTTAACCCGTTTACACTTACAGTTACACACGCGTGATCATTGGACTTGCACACTCATCGATCTCCTCGCGACCGAGATCGAGGCTAGGCGCTCTTTCTAAAATCGCGGAATTCCGCTTGCTTTATCGCGGGCCTGCGATCGAGTCGAGTGCTCGTTCCGTCATCAACTCATTGTCAGCCTCTCATTTTACAATAAAAATCGCGCCTTTCAATCTCGGGCTGTGAGTCGTTTCCGTATACGCTTACAACGAGGCGACTTGTCACTCTTGCGTACTATAATAAATGTATTTCCCCATTGAGGATTTCAAAACAGACGCGCATTTTATTTTCAAGATACCAGCGCGCCAATTTTTCTTCTTAAATTCAAGTCTCGTTTGAATTATCGATAGATAACTCGAAATAAATAAACGACTTTCACGTTTATCGCTCTCTCTCTCTCTTTCTCTCTTTGTATTTTATTGTGCCACTTTGCTTTTACCGCCTTCACCGATGGTCGAGCAAATTCAAGTCTCATCTGAACTAGATTTCGAATGAATGACGATAATGTGAACTTCGATATCTGACTCAGTTTCCCGATGCCACTTTGGTTCCTTAAGGGAACGAGGCAAAAACGTCTCACGATATCCACGTTTCTTTATCGCTCTGAGATATAAATACGAGCGACGCTTTCTTTTTTTATATCGATCTGGATTGGTGGAACTCCCTTTACTACCGCGAGTAAGTGTGAATTATTCTGGCTATTGCATCGAGGTCGACGGTCCTGTCCCTTAATGGGTTTGCAGGACGCTTAAGACCCGCTTGAGGCCAGACGGCGCCAGTTTCCCGGCTCCTCGCCATTATCGGCAGCGTACATCCTACTATCTGTATGCATGCAGCTCCAAACAGTTCGATCACCAACGAACAAAGCAATGAACGAAGCAATAAAAAACCCACGGACACAACAAAATATAAGAAGAAAACGACGTGTGAAATTTAGTCGACAGTAGATAGTATTATGAGCCATTATTAATGTTGGTATTAGAGTTATTATGTAAAGCGAAGATGGAGGGCACGTTCGTCGCGTATAATAGGAACTCCAGCTATCCAACTTAAGCCTATTAGAAGTTGGTTCAGTTACTGAATCGCGATGATTTAAGGAACTCGCGAAGCGACTTTGACCAAACTTCGATTAACTTCATCGGCAATGTATACAACTGATGAAGTTGCTTTTGCTTGAAAAAGCAAAATTTCAAGCTACATAATTCATCCCTGAGTTATATATCTTCTGCTTTCACGGTAAAAAAAACAATAATATATTAATAAAATGCTGTAGGTATTATTTAAATCGCCAATTAAGTTAATCGGAGTTTGATCAAAGTAGCCGATAGTGCATGACACAAACGTGTCTCCTGATATCGATTTGCATAATGTACTGCATATTTATGTACCACGAGTACTATGAACATTACGAATGTGTATTTCTCGTGGTATTTTGCTTTCGATGAACAAGATAACAGACCGTCTAGAAATAGCGCTCGATCGTGCAAAAATTTACATTAAAGCGTAATGTACGATTGTATCAGATACTGTCTGAGTAATCCATTAGACAACAATTTATGTCTCTGTATCTTTATTTTATACTCTTTGCAAAACGCACGGTCACTCGGTCACGCGCTCGCAAAATGAATTCCCAGAAGTCAGGCTGATCGACTCCGCGGCTTGCGAATTTCTCAATTTTACTGACAAAGACTCGGTTTATAATTTGATTTATCTCCGCTATTTTTATGGAATTCGATCCTTTTTGTCTCCCGATAGATTCGAATGACCGTTCCGACACCCGATGATTAGCTTGCGTTTTCAAAGCGCTCGATCGCGCGGAGCTGCGTCCTTGGTCGAGCTCCGTTCTCCTTGCCCGTGATGCGCGGCCCACATTTTTATCGACGGGACTTTATTTATTTTTAGAAATATACGATGGAATACCGACTGCACCAGCACTTTCGTTACGAGAATCGAACGAACGCGCGTTCGGGGAATAGCTCAAATAATACAGTCCTAAGTATCGCTGCATTTTTATGTAGACCTCGGCTGCTACATGAAATATCTTGATTACCTGCGATCGAGACTTCAATGAATCACGCTAAAAATTTCAGTTGAAAGAAAATAATTCAAAATTGTCTCCCTTCCCTCCCAAAGTGCCCGTCGGTGTAGCCCAAGTTCTTAAAATACTATCAAATTTTATATTATTTATATTATCACGTTAAAACATTAATTTTAAAGTTTGGGGCAACATATTTAATATTATTCCCTTATTCACTCATTTTATTCATTGCATGTATATATAATTTTATCCGCAAGGTGTAACGCATAAATTTCGTATTACCGCGCGAAACATTAGCCAGCTGAGCTGAATGTTACACGTACTCCTTCCGGGTCAATGACCGTGCCGCGTATGACGCACGTCAGGCAGAGAAATGGCAGAAATGAGGTGAGGTTAGGCTTGAAACAGCTGATAGGAAAACAAAGGGACGCTACTCCGTTTTTCGTCGGAGTACAGACAAAGCGCGCGATCGCTCTAGCGTATGGCACGATTTTCAGTTGGATGAGACTGATGGAACCCTTGGGTGTCGCCGAGGAGATCGTGGAGCCGACCGCGCTGAAACGATGGACTAGGTATCCAACCCAGCATCGATACACGGACTACTCCGATTCGATACGGGAGACGGCCCACCATGCCATAAGCCCCTTTCCCTGTCAACCGTCGCTCAACAACAAGATCGCACTATGGTGAGATTTCACGCCGAATGCTCGCAGCATTTCTCGAATTTTTGCCAAATTATCCTATCCAGCAATCAAGTTGATATAATAAAATTATACCGTACGTTAATGCGCCATAAATTGTTTCAGGGCTGGAGATATCTCGATATTACAAGTAGACGCAGTAGTAAATCCTACCAACGAGACGATGGATGATAATAGTCTTACGTGCCAAAGAATATTCAGCCGAGCTGGTTCTGCACTCAAGCTAGAAATATGTAATGAAATTAAAGGTCTATATTTTGACGTGTGTGTGTATATGTGCTGTGTTCGACATGGATTTGTCTTAACAAAATCTTAACTGCCGAAATCTTAATTGCAGAATGCAGAACCGGTGAAGTGAGAGTAACACAGGGTCATGGATTATCTGCTCGTTTTATTATTCATACTGTTGGACCAGTTTACAACGTCAAGTATCAAACAGCTGCGCAAAACACGTTACATTGTTGCTATAGGTAATTTAAACGTTCAATATATACAGATAAGCAGAAATTTCCTTACAGAAATGTAATACGAGAACCAAAAGCACTGAAATAATTGGTAGAACGTTACTGTAAATCAGTAATTTGTAATAATTCAATTGCTGAGCTTCTAGCAATTATTTTAGTATACAGCTTTTTGGTTCTCACAGTATTACGTTTCTATAAAGATATTGTTTCACTTTTGCTTTAATGTTATTTAAAAATATATATAACATGAATTTTGCTAAAAGAAGAAACTATACTAATTAATTTTAATCTTTTTGCGGAAGAATCAAGAAAAAAAGGTTAGGCTAGTTATCGTTGTATAGAAATATTTTGCTGCGGACGTCTGTTACGTTCTCATACTTTATCGTTTATATAAACAATTTATTTAGATCAACGAACAAAAATTTAACATAAAAAATTGAGGTATTTAGTTCAAAAAATAAGAAAAACGTTTTATAATCTTATATTTCTACTAAAATTTACCTGTAAACATTCAAAGATCAAAATAAGAGATTCGTGCTATAAATAAAATTAATAATAAAAAATAAAGAAGTAATTAAATGATATGATTAAATGATATAATTATACATATAGGTATATTGAGAAAAGCGCAGAGTTAATATATTTATATAATAAATTTTAAAGCGATGTGTTTTATGCATAAGTTGTTACACATTGTAACAATATCGTGACGTATATTTTCTCATAACTTTTGGGTCAAGTAGCACAAAGTCGCAATAAATTATTTCTATTACTATAATATTTATCGATTTTGTATCGATTATTTGTAATCGATTATTTGGAGCGAACTGGCTGTTCCGCATTCCGATATACATACATATTGGCCATTTGTACACCGTGGTAGGTTTATGAACGGCTATTACATAGTACTTTGTAGTGAAAGAATCAAGTCTTCCGAACTTATAATACAGTTGTTTCTATCATAGAAATGTTCTGCAAAAGGCAAGAGAAATGGGATTACGTACCATTGCTCTACCAGTAATAAATTCCGTACGGAGAAATTACCCTCCGGATGCAGGAGCGCATATAGCTCTCAGTAAGTACAGAGCAAGCAAATAACTGTCTAAATTTAAGTACACGTCAATACGTGATAAAAAAACTTAACGATTCTCTCTTTTTTTCTAGGAACTGTACGTAGATTCATGGAGCAATACAGCGATTCGATAACGTGTATTATATTTGTACTAGAGGCGTGCGATTTTGAAATATACGAAATCCTGCTGCCGTTTTATTTTCCTCGAAATTTGGCAGAGCAGGATAACGCTTGCTGGCAGTTACCGAGTGACATTGGCGGACCGGACGGAGAACCTTTACTTCCGGATAGACAAATTAGAATCATTGACAATCCTCAACACGCTTTGCACGGTAACGGAACGTTCCGACGTAACATTGTACATATGGAAAATCAAGTTGTACTCCTTTGAAAAGCACACGCCACTTTTACAGGCGACGAGACGGTGGAACTTTCGACACAATTGGAGACTTCGGTCAATATCGGTGAGCATGCCTTTGCGCAAATGCAGGGTGATTTGGACCGACAGAGACTTTTGGGAGAGAGACCTTTTGCCGACCCGCTGGCGGATATTATGCTCAAGCAAATGCAACATAAAGAAAGGTACGAATTTTGTGAGATAGTCCTTAAGAGGACTATTAAAAAAATATGTACGTCATATTTCTACAAAGACAAAATTAATTTTGCAATAGTCAAGGAATAGTTAACCAGCGAATTTTTATGTGAACAATCAGCGCATTTAAGTCAGGGGGATGGTACAAGTCTATTTTTATGATCAAATTAGAATAATACGATAAGTTAGTAACGTTGAGGAAACATTGGACATTTTAATTATCCGGAAAAAGCCATCAATTTTGCCTTCTTTCTCTCTAATTTCTTTCTCTCAGATGATACTGACTGTGCGTCATTCATCATCTGTGTGAGATTCGTCAAATTCGCATTTATGAGTTATCGTGCTAATTCATCAACATATCCAAAGTCAGCGTACCATTAATTAATAAAAAATTGTGTAACTGTTGCAAAGCTAATTTTTCCATTAAGGTGATGCTGG